TGTGTGTGTGTGTGTGTGTGTGTGTGTGTGTGTGTGTGTGTGTGTGTGTGACACTGCTAATTATATACGAGGTAATTTGAGGAAGGAGAAAGTGTTAATAGCTGAGAGGATCAGGAAACTCCATGCATTGGAGATGTGCTTGAGGTAAGTCTTGAGGAAACCTCTGGCTACTAAGATGTGAAGTGAGATGAGAGGACATTTCAGTCCTAGAGAATGGCCAGTACAAAAACCGGAGGCTGGAGATGAAATGCTGGTAGGCTAAGGAGTACAGAAAGGGAACTAATGTGAAATAAGGCTAGTAGTTTGGTGGGAGCCAGATATGGTAGTGCTTTAAATGCTGATGAAGGAATTTATCTTCTGTCTTAGGGGACAATAAAGATCTACTAGTGACATATCTGTGTTTTAAGAATGCTAATTTGGAAGCTTTGTGAAAGATACATTGAAGAAGGGGGTGCTGGGAGGAAGAAGGGCAGTTAGGAAGTTATTGAAGTCGTGTGGCTGAAAGGTTAAGAGAGTCTGGACAAGGGTGGTGGCCATGTGAGAAGAAATAAGAGGAAGGTTGAGAGAGAGATGAAAGTAGAATAGACCAGATTTGTCCAGTGACTCTCTATGGGGTGGGGGGAGGAAGGGGAAACGGAGAAGGAAGAATCAAGAATGACTCCAAGGTTGTGAGCATGGTTGATTGGAAACATGGTGGGGCCCTCACAAAAGAACTAGGGAAGTCTGAGGAGGAATGAGTTCTTAGAGACATACAGCAGATTCCATTTTCAGTGTGTTCAGTTTGAGATACTGAGGAAGCCTCTAGGGGAGATGTCCAGCAGGCAGTCATTGATGCGATACTGGCGTTCATCACATTAGAGCTGGGTGGAAGCCAAGAGATGGAAGACTTTCAAGAAATTTTCAGGAAGGAAGGTGTGGACATAGTTTTAGATATTGCAGAGAGGTGAGGAGAGGAGAAGTCTGTTGGATTTGGTAATTAGGAAATAAGTCATTGGTGGCCTTGGAGAGAGCATAAAGTAGAACCCAAATTACAGAGTATTTGGAAGTGGTAGAGAAGTCATGGCAATTATTATGAGGTTAAGGCAATGAATATGTTCTACTTATTAGAAAAATTTTGTTAGCAGAAGAAAGAGGAAGAATTTTTTAAGATAACTGAGCATATTTGTTAAGTAGAGGAAAATAAGCTAATATAGAGGGGAGAGATTGATTATAATGGAGTGGGTGTAACTATCTAAGACAGTAGTTTTTTAAGTTTTCTGTTTGTGTTATATGTGCAAAAGATGGCCACGGTCCACCTCCCCTGTATTGTGGGGACAATACAAAGGAGGGTTGTGGCCACAGTCCAGGAAGGGAATGAGAAGGACTAGAATGTCAGATGCATGTGTGTGTGTGTGTGTGTGTGTGTGTGTGTGTGTGTGGTCCTGTTTATCTTCCTTCCCTGTGGGAAGTTTCTCTTCTCCCTGTAGAGTTGAAAGTTGTTGGGATTCAGCTGTGTTGTTGGATTTCCAGGTTGACAAATATTCTTGTCTTTCAACTGATTGTATCCAGAGCTTCTCTAATTAGCTCTCTGTCTTTTAACCCTAATTATACCTTTTGAACCATCCTAGAGATGTACTATGACAGCAGCTACTCTAGGACAATCGAAATGACAATCCTAAGTATCTCCATAGATTTGCCATGTGCTGTCATTGTCCCCCCTTTTCCTCCATTTCTTTGTGTAATACCCAAAGAAAGTAAGATTTACCATCAAATGACAATTAGTACCTTATTTGAGATTCTCTTTTGGATAGTGTTCGTCCTAAACTTCATTCAACAACCATGTCGTCATTATCCATGATACATAATATTTTGTGGTTTACACATTTTTTTCTTTATGAAGAACTATTTCACTTGATCCTTACAGTAGTCCTGTGAGGCAGGCCAGGCAGAGATAAATACCCATTTTTATAGATTAAGAAAGAAGATTACAGAGAGATTTCAGTATCTTGCACCAGATCAAATAGCAAAGCTGGGATTAGAACCCATGTCTTTAAGCTCCAAATTTAGTGCTCTTTTTATTATAGTAATCTATTTTTTTTTTAAAAAGTGAATGCTTTGTTAGAATCTTACTTTGAACATATTTATGATCAAACTTGTTTAGTAACTTTAGAATTTAATTAATTTCAGCACATCAAGTATTATAACTTTTTAAAAATAGTGCCTGAGTGCTTATTAGGATTCCTATTTTTTTTTAAGATTTTTTTTGGGGGTAGGCTAGGCAGTGGGGTTAAGTGACTTGCCCAAGGTCACACAGCTAGTAAGTGTCAAGTGTCTGAGGACGGATTTGAACTCAGGTCCTCCTGACTCTGGGGCTGGTGTTCTATCTACTGCGCCACCTAGCTGCCCCTAGAATTACTATTTTCATATGCTTTTCTTTTACTGTGTCCATAGTTAGTGTATATACGTTGTACTTCTAGTTTTGCTCCTTTTTACTTTATTACCTGGAAGTCTTTCATAATTCCCTTGTATTCCTTGTAATTGTCTGTCTTGATTGCTGTGTGACATTCCATTCCATTAATATAACCATGATTTATTTAATCATTATCTTATTGTAGAACACCTAGGTTGACAATTTTTTGCAATTAAATATAATGCAATGAAAATCTTTGAACAGACCGCTTAAAAAATTATATTCTCAATGTATATTTGCCTCATCTACTTGCCATTAGATCAGCGCTTCTCAGGTCATGTAATAACACTGCCCCCGCCCCCCCCCCCCCCAAGTGTCATCCTCACCCCAACCAAAGGTTGCTTTTGTCCTGACTGAGGGATTTGACCTGGTAGCCCGTTAACCTCAGACATGATGGGAAGGAGCTATACCGTGACCGGCACGGCCATAAATCTTCTTGACCTAGCAGGATCCCTCCAAAGCTCACTTGGTGTTATGATGGCTTCAGTGGACACTCTGGAATGCTGAAGGACGGATCCTCATCCCAGGTAGAAGTCTTTCCCTGACAAACAACTTCTTCTTTGGAATAAAAATCCTATGACCAGCTATACCTTCTGGGACTTCTACAGGTCAAATTGTAAACTCTGCTCTGTCTTCTCTGGCCTTCCTGGAGCTTATGTTTTAGATTAAACCCAGTTTGATTGGAGTTTCTCTTAGATAATTTGACATGAATTTGCTGTGGTCTTCTTAAGGTAGATCCAAGTCATAATAGCATTTTCTCTTTGGATTTCTGATCCATTAATACATGTATTTAACTGCTTTGATTATTCCATAGACCTTTCTTTAATAACAGTGGATTGGTACCATGTAGTGCTGCCTAGACCAGGTGACAGGATTATGGAAGCCTCACCCCTGTGTGTGCCAAAGCATAAGTCATTCAGTCTCTCTGTACCTCACTTTCTTCCCATGTTAAATGTTTAACTCAGTTTACTTATTGGGTTGTGTGAGGATCCTGTGAATTAAATTGTGTTGGAGAATCCTCAGAGGTAAGAAGGCTATTCACATTATGGAGGCAGTATGATGTTGTGGACAGAGAGCTCGCTCCTCCTCAGAAACAGGAAAACCTTGTTTCAACAAATGGACAGTGTAAACCTGGGAAAGTCACTAGCCCTGCACTGCCTTAGGCAACTGCTCCCCTAGATTGGTCCAGGGTGTGGCTCACCGAGGAGTTTCCTATGCCAGTAAAGTCAGGTTCAGCCTTTATCCCTCATTATTATCATTGATAGGCAGCATGGTGTAGGGTGGTCATGTCTTACTTCTGGCCAGAATTAGGTTAAAATGTCATTGGGAAGCATTTAATAAAAAAAAATAAAAATGCAGTAAATCCTTGGCAACATGACATTTAAAAACCCACTCAGTATGCAGCTGGCAGCAGGGATCTTTATGTGTGGATTTGTGACCCCGCCACTGCTGTTGGGGATAGAGAGCAGGTGGATTCTGGTTTTGCTTCATACCAGGTGTGCTGGAACCATCTTCCATTGACTGCTTGGTGAGCAATCCCACCTCAGCAATCTGGCTTTGATTGTTTCATGGATTGTCTAGACTGTTAAGGGATAGAGAAAATGTTAATCATGCAGATGACACATCACAGTGTGCTGTGCCTTTTTGGGGAGCTGTTTGTTAAATGATTACCCACAGAGCCCTGCATGTTCTTGTCTTGGCAAGCAGCATTGGTGCTCTAGGTACCTCTCTACAACTTCATGGGAGGAGTTGTTTCTTCTGAAAGTTCATTATTCTAATGGGATCGCTGGTCTGGTTCTGATCCCTGCTGTCCTCGTGATTAATTTTTAAATCAAATTTACTTTAGTTTAAAGTTTGATTAGTATTGCAATTAAAATGTCTAAGGGCTAGTACCTTTTTGACTAGTTTTATTGATCTCCAAAGCCCACAGATGTTAATGCGGGTACTAGATCTGAGGACCTAAATTCTAGACTGATCAAAGGAGAGGATCTGATCTTGCTTCACTTAGTCAGAACTTATCATTGTATAATGTCAAAAACTTTGCCATTTCTTTTCCTAGATTTTGACATAGTTTAATCTTTAGGTCTTATGACTTGTTTTTCTTTGTTTGAAACAATATATCCATCACAAATTGTAAGCTTTCAGAGGACAACAACCAATCGTAACTGTATTCTTGACCCTATACTGCCTGTAAATGGACATTTTAGGAATGCATTAAGATAATGATGTTGATGATGGTGGTGGTGAAAGTGAAGTACGGGCTTAAAGAGAGGGGTACTAAGGCCAAGAGTAAGTATTCCAAAATCTTCTGCAAGATCAAGGAACTCTTGCTAGCTTCCTGAACCATCTTGAGAGGAGACTATAAGAATAGAAGAGGAAAGGGTCCTGGGTAGACAACCCAGATTGAAACCTGAGAATTGATCTGTCCATTAATCAGCAGCTGAACAAAACATTGTGATTTGAAAGTCAGTCTCAAGCAAAACATGTTATTTAGTACTTTGATGGACCTTCATGGATCTTCATTCTAGACTAGTGTTTTTCTCTTTCAGGTTCCGGGGTTCACCCATTATCCCTGTTGCTGCCAAGCCTGGTGGACCAGAGGCCCCAGAAACTGAGACTCCGCAGGGCATTTCAGAATTAATTGAGGTATATTCAGCAAAAATATATCACCATTCATTCATTACTCTTTCTTTTAGGATTTCCTGTCGTAGCACTCACCTCCATGAGCTCACATGATGAGCACTTTGTTCTAAGCCTCATTCCTACTTCATCTACTTTAGGGGATGTGCCAGGTTTTAAAACAGACCATTTTCCTTACCTGTTTGTAAACTTCTGAAGAATAACACAAACACCACCCCTTCCCCATCCCCAAATCATGGACAGCAAAAACTACTTCCACTCCAACGTTTGAGAACAGCCTATAATAACAAAGCAGCATGAGTAGCCCACTGATGGTGAACTCCCTGTTGGGATTAGGTCATTGTGGCTGCCTCTGAGCTCCTGATCCTGCATCCACCAACTGCTGAGAACTGCCCAGAAATAATAAGCCAGCAGGCCTGGGATAACAGAACAGGGCATCCCATCCAGAGCTCACGAGCCCTCCTGCAATAACAAACCAGGCCATCATCGGTGGCGCAGGAGTCCGAGGGGATTTTACAGCCAGTGTTGATGAATTGTTTAAAGTCTTCAGACAGTGTCTTTTTTTAGCTGAGGGGGGCGGGAATGGTGGCAGCTATTCCAGACTGCTCCTTCTTCCATTTTCATCTTATTGAGAGGGCACAGCAGGGCATTAATATACTGCATTTTTCTAATGTTTCTTATTCCTCTGCCTCTAAATTTCCTTTGAGGGGCTGCTGACAGTTGGACTGAAGGTGGTTATACCTTTAGGGAAGAGTTAGCCAGCAGTCTCCCTAGTTTTTTCTTTCATGCTTTTTCTTTGAGTGCTTCTCTGTGTGCTGTTCTGACTTGTTTGGGAAGCAAGGAGGAGAAGCCAGGCTTCTGAGGGCTCCTGCAGGGTGGAGGTTATTTACCCCTTCTCACTGCTTGGCCCACTCCCTGACCCTTCCCTCTTCTTTTGCTTGTTTCACTCGTGATGTTTATGACTTCTCAGGAGCCCATCTCTTTCTCTTCCTTTATGAGGCAAACACTCCTTGTGGAATTTAGCAGAACACCAAGGAATTAGAAAAAATAAGGGGAGAAAATCAGAGGGAGAAAGAAGAGAAAAGAGTATCAAAGAACAGGGAAAGGTCTAGAGAGAAAATAAGAATGATGCTAAATAAGGAGGTGTCCCTGACGTTAGTATTCTCATGTTCTCGCCCCTGAGATTCTGTTTACCAGTTGTATAACTTTGGGCAAGTTGAGTGATGTCTCTGAGCCTCAGTTTTCTTACTTGTGAAGTGGGGATAATAATATTTGAGCTCTCAGGGTTACATGAATACCGGATGAGAGAATGAATGCGAAATGGCTTTGTCAGTTGTAAAACATTCTGTACGTTAACAACAAAATGATAATAATCATGTTAATTTCTTTGACTGTCCCTTCAGCCAGATTCCAAGCAGCACAATGGAGCTTGGTCTGAAGGCTCTATCTCCCTCAGGCTCTTTGACTAAGGCTCTGAGACTTTGGGGAATGTCTGCCTCCATGCTTAGTGATATTAACTGGAGGGAAATGTAATGTCAGAGCCTAATAATGGAAGTGGACCCATTGGACTCCTGTAATAGGCAACCACGACATGTCTGGCGGTTAGGGTTTCTTCATCGTCTCTGTTCACAAGAGCCTTGTCTTAAGGCTTCTACCTGTCCTCTTGAAGCAAATGACCCCCTGCTCTGGCCCAGTACTGTGCCACAGTTTCTAATGATTTAGAGTTTGCTGATCTTGCTGACTTAGCAAAACAAACATTTTATGTGTAAGGCTTTTGTTACTTTTTATTAGTCCCAGAGAGCACTCGTCTGGGAGCACGAGACAGTTGTTGTTTTTGTGAAGGAAGGATCCACAAAAATGCTGCTATGAAAGATATTAGTATATTCCTCCAAGAAATTTCTACATAAATCTTGGGCCAAAGCCTGTTTTGAATTCTGAAGTCTTTTTCCAAAAGAATTGTTATCATAAGACTAAGACTTTGGAACATTTCTTTGCAAAATTCTTTTTTGATAACTTATTCCCTTTTGAAATCAGAAAGTCACAGAATAAAAGGAATAATAAATATGCAATTGTTTATTTGTTGGTAATTAGCATTGACAGTGTCCCAGCTGCCATACACAGCATACAGAATGCTGAGCTGTTCAGTCTGCAATCTCCCCAAAATAAATAGAATGAGTTTGAAAGAAAAGGGAAAAAAATGACAAGCACAGGGCTTAAACTGGGAAAATTTTGAGTCTGCACTAATGAGCAGGTCTTTATTTTGGGGGAGAGGTGTGTAGAAATGTCCATGAAGTGCCTGGAAACCCCACTTGCCATTCCCCAAGTACAGAGGTCATGGATTCTGTGGATAGCTTTTTCTAGTCCTTTCTCATCCCCTCTGGGCTTCTCCTTAGCTGGAATTACTTATGAGGCAGATTTTCAATTTAGCCTCCTCTTCTGGCCTCCATGTTTTTGGGGACATTTCCTTACAGGTAGTAATGTTCTTGTCTGTTTTCTAGCTCCTGAAGTCACAGGCTTCCATCCCGACTAGAGACCCTTCAGGACCTTTCCTCATGGCTGTGGACCACTGTTTCTCCATTAAAGGGCAAGGCACGGTGATGACAGGGACAATCCTTTCAGGTTCAGTCAACCTTGGTGACAGTGTGGAGATTCCTGCCCTGAAGGTTAGTCTTTTCTCCTTCCTCCTTTTCTTCCCCAAGAAAGAGCTTGATCTGAAGAGGACGAGTGGATTCCTTATCTGTCTCATTTTGTCCATCTAGTCCCAGACTCCCACAGGTCTCATTTTGTGTTGCTCCCAACTGAGCAGTAACAGGACCCCAAAAAGCATTGCAGGAAGTAGCACACCTGGCAGAATTGGTCCGCTGGGTGAGCTGCTATCCCGTTTTCTTCAGTCCTTTCGGGATGCTTTGGATAAATTCTTCCTTCTCACTTTCTCTCTGTCAGTAACTCCTTACCTGTTCCATATCGAATAATTCTATTGGTAGAGACCATTTTCTCTTTTCTTCTGCCTTACATGCAGACTATCCCATACACAACTGAAATGCAGATTCTTTGCATAAAAGTGACAAAAGTATCAGAACAAACCCTGAACATTTACAGAGATATTCAGTTTAGCAAGACCAGTAGAAAAGTCTCACTCGTTCAGTATCCTGTATCCCTTATGAGGCTTTGAGATTTGCTTTCTTCCCCCAGTGTTGGGGAAGCCACAGTGATGATACAGCTGATTCATATTATATGCGATAAATTGTGCAAGGCACTAGTGGAAGTGATTTTTTTCCTCCCCTAAACTCCCGTAATAGCATGTATCCCCTCTTTGCACTTTGAGGTCATACTTTGTATTAAAAGTAGTTGTGTGTGTGTGGATTGTCTTCCCTATTAGATGATAATTTCCATGCGGGTAACAGTAACATCATTATGGCCTATAGCACAGAATTTTGCATGTAGGGAAAGAGAAGAGAAAGGGAAGGGAAAGGGAAAAAGTATTAAGTACCTACTATGTTCCAGACTCTGTGCTAAGCACTTTCAAAATATGATCTCATTTGGACCTCACAACAACCCTGTGACGTAGGTGCTACATAGCAGTCATTCAGTAGATATAACAGTAATAGCTCACCTTTGTCGAATGAATGAGTGGGGACAGCCTGAAAGAATACAGGCTGTCATTAGTGCTCTGCTCTTGAGAAATGTCAGGACTCAGTGGCTTATGTCACTGAGGCCTGTGCTAAGTTAGTCATCATCTTTGTCAAGTTCTGTTTCCTTATGCAGTCTCCATCTTCCCCGCTAGCCACAAAAACAAAAGGGATGCCATTAACTGATGTGCTGTCTTTAAGAGGAGCCACATTCTACCCCTGGCACAGTAGGGGAGTTATGATCTTGTTGGCCACCATAGTTCATAGACTCACAGACTCTTAGGTTGGAAGGTACTCCGGAAGTTTCCTCGTACTTTCTACCCATTCTCCTCTACCTTTTTACTCATTGGGAATGGAGGCAGCAAGTGTTTTCCAGGTGTCATTGGTGACTGAATGACTCCTTACTTCCATAACTAATTTTACAAAAAAGAGTCTTCAATTTTGTTTTCCACTTTATTATAAACTGTCTTTTATAATGAAATTTGGATGGAATGAAGAGGATGAATAACTTAGAAAAACTGTAGGCGCCCCAATTATTAAAGTCGTCCCAACTTGGTTAATAAGGGAGGTGTATCCAAATACTAAGAAAATTAAATGATTCAGCTCCAGCGCTTTCACGCATCACTGATACGTGTTGTATTTGTGAGTTCATTTCAGTTTGATTTGGTGAAAGAGGCAACACAATGTAATGGGAAAAACAGTGTGCTGGGAATCAGAAGACCTTGGTTCTTATCCCAGCTTTGCCACAAACTGGTTGTATGACTTTGAGCAAGTTGCACATTAATGATCTTGGGCCTCAGTGTAGGTGTCGGACTAGATAGTATCTAATAGCCCTTTCAGCCCCCAGAATCCTATGGAACTTTCCTTCCCCTTAGCCCTATTCAGAGTTTTAGAGTTTTAGTCCTCTGAGCCCCAGTCCTAGTGACAATGGTCCTCTGAGATCATGACAAGAAAGGGAAAAGCAAGTTTCACTTCAAAGGCATGGGATAAGAAGCAAAATAATAAAAATAAAATAGAATATTGGTTCTCAGTTTCCCAGATGTGAGCCTGTGCTACTGCCTGAATACTTTTTAAATGAAGTTTAGAGTGGGGAGATCTTTTCTGAGCATATGTCATGTGTGAGCCAAGGGCTTCTTTAGGGCCATGGCAAGCAGAGGCTTCCTGGTGGACTGTGTGTTCTGCCTCCATGCTCCTTCTGGTCAAGGGCAGGCCCTGGATTTTGATCTTGAATTTCTCATGTAATTGGACTGTCCCAGTGGGTTTAGAGCGATGTTTGGGTGGAAAGTGTCTTGTGGTTTGGTTTGTTGATAGCAATGACACCTTACAGTGATTGTCTTTGAAGAGATCAGAGCACTCTGGAACAGGTTCCCTGACACCCTGTAAGCTGTCTGTAGTTTAAGCCAGGGGTGGGGAATCTGGAGCCACAGCGCTTGAGGTCCTCAAGTGTGGCCCTTTGACTGAATCCACACTTTCCAGAACAAATGTTCTGTGAGAGAACACATCTGTGAAGTTTGGATTCAAAGGGCCAAACTTGAGGACCTCAAGCGCCACATGTGGCCTTGAGGCCCCAGGTTCCCCGCCAGTAAAGATGGCAGGCAAAACAACTGAGGCAACAGGAGGATGAGTGGAGTTGGTGACCTGGCATTAATGGCTGAATAAGGGGTCTGACTCTTTACCCAACATTTGATCCACAAAGCTCGGTAGCTCCTTAAGTTTCTAGCTCATTGTCTAGAGGAGCAGTGCAGTGTCGTAAAGACAGCACTGATTTGTGGTCAGAAGACCTAGGCTGGAGGCCTGGCTCTACCACATAGTAGTTGTTTGGCCACAGCTGTGCTGGTTCACCTTTCTCAGCCTGAGTCTTCCTTTACAAAATGGCATAATAATACTTGCACTGGCATCCCCTGCAGGGCTGTTGGGGGAGAATAATTTGGGGAACTGGAAGTACTGCGTAAGTGTGAGGTAGTATTGTGATGTAACATTTTAGCAGTATTGTTAGCCTTTCAAATCATCATCATCACTGACTTTGAATCCTTTTGCCAAAACATATCAATCTGGAGCAAAGCAGCATTTGAATTTTTTCCCCTCTCCTGACAGGGATAAAAAGGTGGTGCTTCCCAAGCAGCTCCCCAGGGTGGGGTAGGCCGTTTGTGCTGCTGAGCACACAACAAGCTCCATCTTTCTTGGGCTTCAGAGTGATGGAGGAAGCGCATTTCACAACATGCCACGGTTCATAAGTCCTTCTGACCTTGCTTCACCCCCAACCTTTGGTAGAAGAGATTGACAGCCAGTACCCACTGGGCATTTGGGGACATTGCAGAACAGCTGCTTTTAAACTGGAGGAGCCCTCTCCCCAAACAAAGTGACATCCCCGTCAGATTTTGCTAATGGGCTTAGACACATCTGACCGCTTGAACCCGCACGGAGGAGGGGTGCAGCCATTCCAAATAAACAACTGCATTCCCCACCGCCTGTGCTCACTCTGATTGAGGTGCAGGAGCCACAGCACATGGATTCCTTCCCCCTGTTGACCACGTATGTTACCAGCTGGGGCTGATTATACTTTTCTGGGAGAGAGGGAAGGAAGAAGCAAGTATCTGCCTCGTCCTCAGACTTCCTGAGGTCTAGTTAGGCCTAGACTGCTTAGTCCCATTTGTTCCTAGCCCTGGGGGTCTCTCTCTCCTCATCTTCACCTCCCAGCTTCCTGGCTTCCTTCAAGATTTCACTAAAATCCAACCTAATGCAAGAAGCCTTTCTGTGTCCTACTTTTGTAAGATTTGGCTTTATGAATTTTTGGTGTGTTAACCTGTTTAATGATTAAGCCTGTGGGATGCCACAGGAAGAATTTTGGTCCAGGAGTCAGGGAACCAGCTTTTTAGTGCTGCCTCTGCTGCTTACTACTTGGTTGGTCTTAGACTTTACAACTCTAAAATGTGTGGGCTTGGAAATATTTCTAAGGCCTCTTTCAACTCCAGTCTTAAAGTTCTGAGATCACCTATCATTCATTTAGTCAACTAGAATTTATTAAGTGTCTACTTTGTGCTGGGGCACAAAGGTGGAACAGTAGATAGAGCACCAGGCCTGGAATCAGGAAGACTCATCTCCCTGAGTTCAAATCAGACACTTATTAGCTGTATGACCCTAGGCAAGCCATTTAATCCTGTTTGCCTCAGTTTCCTCATTTGTAAGATGAGCTGGAGGATGAAATGACAAACCAATTCCGTATCTTTGCCAAGAAAAACCCCAGAGGTGTCACAAAGAGTCTGCACACAACTGACAAGACTGAACAACAAAACTATGGCCTGGACATTCTGCTAAGACTGGGGGAACACAGAAGGACAAAAATATAGTCCTTGCCATCAAAGAGCTCATAGTCTAACGGGAGAGACAAGCTGCAAATAATTATGCACAAACAAGATGTATACGGATGAATTAGGGTTAGTTTCAGAGGAAAGGCACTAAGATAAAGTAGGATGTAGAAAGACTTCTTGCATTAGGTAGGATTTTAGTTAAATCTTTAAGGAAGCCAGTAAGCTAGGAGGTGAAGATAAGGAGGGAGAGACTCCCAGACATGAAGGACAGTCATTGAAAACGAAAATTGAAAATTGGAGCCAGGAGATGGAGTGTGGTATGTGAGGAACAGCAAAGATGTCATTGTCATTGGATCTTAGAATATTTGAAGGGGAGTGAAGTATAAGAAGACTGGAAAGGTAGTAGACCAACTTATGAAGGGCTTTAAAAGCCAAGCAGAGAATATTTTTATATTTGAGGTAATAGGGAGCCATTGAAGTTTATTACATAAGGTAGTGATATAGTCAGACATGCATGTTAGGAAGATCAGTTGACAACTGAGTAGAGGATGGATTGGATTGGGGAGAGACTTGAGGCAAGGAGGCCAACCAGCAGGCTATTGCAGGATCCGGGTGTAAGATCCTAAGAGCCTATGACAGGTGGTTGTAGTGTGAGAGGAATGAAGGGGAATGTATGAGAGATGTTATGAAGGTAGAAAGGAAAATACTTGACCACTGATAGAATAT